GCACCTATCTCGTGTGTTAGTGCCTGTCGTCTTTGTGTTTAGTGCAGTTTTGCTAAGGTTTGTCTTATGCTGTATTAGAGCTTAATTTGCAAATAACTGATAGAGAATAGCTCAGTTGGGCTTGAAGAGCCAATTTGTTGCAAAGTGCTGGTTGCACCTAGCATGTGCAGCCTAGCTTTTTGGCTTCTAAGATGATGTTCAGCAAGATACTAGAATAACTATTTTTGATTTATTGTCTTGATGATTTAAAAGCAAATGATCACTTCAACTCCTCGGGTCAGTTATTATTGATCAGTCACTGCCTTTTACAAATTGGTCTTAAACCAATTCCTTAAACCAACAAATTCCTTAAACCAATGTCCTTTCTCTTTTAATTAGAAACCTCCCTTGTAATATACTGCATCAAACGGACTTGTCTGACAATTGTGGCCTTCCATCCTTATTTTTGTCTGTTCTCAGTTAACAGCTTTTGTTTCTGGTTTCACTCTTAATTACAGCTAACTCTGTTACAGTCAAGTTGTTGATGTGTATGATGTGACTGTGCTTGGGCTTTTTAATAGCCAGAAAGCTAATGCTATGCCAGTCACAGCACCGTTGATTAAAACTTGAAGTGCAGTACCCTGGAGATTTAAGAAGACAACTGAGAGCTGCACAAAAATGGTCCCTATTTTCAGTCTTCAAGATGGAAAGTTGCTTTGATACATCAGAGTCAAGAAAACCTTCGTATAGTGAGCACTTAGATTGGAAGAGCAGCCATGGCCTAGCAAAGCTGGATTCCAGAATTTGTAGATAATATATCATGTTACCTGTATCTTAAAACTTGACTGTGCAGCACTACATCAGGCTAGAATCAGAAAATCCTGATTGAAAGCACTCTTGAGGCATCACACGAGTTCTGGCTCCTCTACTGATTAGATTGGAGGAACTTCTGTCAGTGATTAGTATGTCACTTTAACCCTTAAAATAAAATCCTACTGAGCACTCTAACAGTCTCAGGATTTTAAGTGCGTTCATCAAGTGTGGTTTGTTTGGCTAATGAAACAAGAATAAGAAGTACATGAAGGAGATGGAAGCTCCTGAATCACCAGTTTGTAGCCCAGTGCACCAGGCGTTGGCAATTTCACGTTACTTGACGATGCCACTGACAACTTCTGGCAATTTAATAGCTGCTATGTTCAGTTATCTATGCAGCAGAGACAGCAGGCTCAAGGATGAATGACATAAATTGCATGGGCAATTCCAGCTTGCTCTTGGGCTTCGCATGGGTTAACACAGTGTTTCACTGAGTGCTTCTAGTTGAGACAGAGCTGGTGCTTCAGCAGCTGCTCTTCCCCTTGTAGCCCTATTTCAGAAGATGCATATGAAACCTGCTAAAGCCACACCTGCTTTCCTCTAAATGCATTAAAAGCAGTGCTTAATTCTTCTAAAGGGTAGGTCATCTATGTACATCTACTTTTTAAACTTTTATTAGTATTTTGAACTGAACAGATGAAAAATAGTTTACCGTAGTTGAGCATTATTATAGTTCAGCATTATTTATTGTTTGATGGATGCTCTCTCTTGTTTTACTTAGGTATATAACTTGAAATGTACAATTTTGGACATAATTGTCCTCCAAACCTCAGTGCTCTCACTCTGTCTGATCAAAATAGGTCACAGAAGTACAGTGTAGTGCTCATGTCCTGGATTGTAAATTGTGTGTGTTTAATTCAGGATTTTACTGTAATAGGAGAAGTTGTGTGTGAAGGGAAACTTACATTTGAATGCTTTAGAAGCACTAAGAGCCTACCTGAAATGAAGTGACTTACGGTGGTCTTTTTGGCTATCCTTGTGTTGCAAACCTCTGCTTCAGTTGTGTTTACTTGATATCAGACTCAAACTCTCTTTAGGTGCTTATCATGGAGGTTTGTTAAGGCCAAAGCAGCTCTTCGGGAAACTGGTGCCAATGGAATCCAGCCTAAAAACATCTCTTGAAATTATTTCACTCAAATTTTCTGCACTCAGGCCATTGCAGTGCTAATAAGAAGCTCAGTTCCAGGACAGATAGTGTTTTACGGCATCTTTGTGAGTGTTAGTTCAGCTAATAAACCAACTCTGCAAGATACTGCAGAAAGCAAGCTGTAGTCACTACAGACAAATGAAGTGAAAGGCTGGTACTGCTCTCCTGGCTTTAGAAAGCAGCATCCCTATATCAGAAAAAGCATCTGAAAAAGAACTATTTTCCATTAAATCTTTTGTTCAGAAAACAAATAACCGTAATTGGATTCTGAAGCCTCTGTCACCTCTGTAAGGACTTAGGCTTTTCACTGTTTTTCCTTCCTCTTCCAGTTCATTCAGAAATGCAGTTTCATCACCCCTCTTCTCATTGAGTAGGCCGTTAGTGCCATTTTCAAACATATTCTCTCTTCAGTGTTTTTTCCTCCAAGAAAAGAATCTCTGGATTCTTTTGTTCTGGATGTATCCTGAACATCCTAGGTAATCCTGTTATAGAGAAAGACTACAATATTATTGCCCCGATTAGTATTGAACTCATAATTCTTACTATATATGCATAAATATGATCACTGAAGTGTAGGATTTTGCCAAATGAGCAGCAGTGTAGGGTTTTGAATCACAGTAAACAGGCTTTGTTCTACCCGTTCGTATTTTTTTAGGGTATTTTCCTGTGAATGACTGGATATAGAAGATTAAGATAGTGTGGAATGGGTGAAACTGCTTAGTGTTACATCCCTTCTTTAGGCTGGAAGAGGAAGTAGTTCTTCTAGTGCAAACATGATATATGTTAGTGTTTTAAAAAAAAAACTACAAGTCTAGAGGAAGGATGTGTTTTCATAGAGAAGGAACAGGAACCAAAAAAAAAAAAAAAATCCCATAGTATGTTGATGAGCTTCAATACCATCAGAAGAATAAACTTTTAGAGTGAAGAATAAACTTTTAGAGTGAAAGTTGCAGTATATTTGCCTGTTAGATATTTTTCTTTGGCAGTAATGTGATGAGGAGATTGAAGGTTGTTTTTGTTTTGTCTCTATAACTTGTAATTACTGCTAATTGTAGCTGCTGCTTCTAGCTGTCAGTTAAGAGCTGATTTGAATGCTGCTCTTGGTAGCTCCTTCAAGCCCTTGGTGGCCCTGGTAACGCTTTCTCTGGGCACAGCTTGTCCCTGTGTATGCTGTCTTTGCTGCACTGCAGCTTCACTTTTCCCTAGGCCTACTGTGAAACCTGGAGGGATTTTTCCATGGTGATTCTTCATCTGTAGCAGAACCACAAAGCAGAAAAACACAATACCAACAACATAGGGAAGTAGTGCTTTGTTGTTTTTGTTGTCACTTCCTGTGAACAAATGGTGGTGTATGTATGTGGGAATGAAGATGAAAAATCAGAGAACACACAGGTGGAACAGGCTCATGACCCAGGGAGTGGAGGGACATAAGGAACAAAATGATGAGTAGAACAGATGGCCCAACTGGCTGTGAAATGGCCTGGCTTGAAATATGCTCATGCTGCTGACATGAAATGTTTGTCATTCCGCGATGTGTCAGTGTATGGCCTGCTGAAGACACTTGGAGGACCCCAAAAGGCAACAGATGAAAACTGTGGCATCAGTTCTGGTCATAAAGGACAGTGTTTGGCTTTGCTGTAGACTGTCCTGTGGAATACTCAGGGCAGCGGCAAGAAATCTGCTTGGAGAGCCTTTGAACTGTATCTGGCAGATATATTTTGAATTAAGAATTTTGTGCTTCAATAAAGGTTTATTCCATCCGGATGGAATTTGCTGGTGATGTTTCTAACCTAGATGTTTTCTGGATGAAAATGTTGTGGAAGCTGAGCCTAGCATGATGGTTTTACAGGCATACTTTGTTCTTAGCGAACTGTTCAAGCACAGAAAAAGTATCTTCGTTGGTAGTTACTTACAGCATGCACACAGAATCAATATACCCCTGCAAACAGAGTCCCTTGGAAGGCCAAAGAGTAACTGTAGATCCCCCCATCACGTCACTGTCAAAATGTCCAAATTCGGGACTAGGAACCAAGCAACTGTTGAGAGTCCCACAACATGGGATGCTACCACCTTCTGAAGCGAACCACCAGAGTTACTGGTGACTCCTGCTGTCTTCTAGCTGAAGTCCTATGTAGAGCTGTCTTGCTTCCCTTACACTACTTGATTTATGGCCACTCTGCCCTTTTCCTCTCTTTTTCTTTTTTAAGAAGAAAAAAATCAATATTCATCACCCCATCCTGCAAAACCACGTTAGTCGCAGAATATCAGCAATTATAGCCTACTGATTGTGCTTGCAAACTCTTCCCCTCATTGAGTAACCTCTCGTTTGGTTTATTACAGGATGTCTCTCCATCTCCAAGTACTGCAAATAAACAAATATAAGTTTATTTGCAGTACTTGCTTATCCTAGGGTGACGGGCATTTTGGGGTGTGCATGCAGCAGCCTAAGCAAACAAAAGGGCAGATCTGCAGCACATGAATCTTCCTGCCTTCTCTCTGTACTGACTCGCTCCCCGATGCAGATGCCCGAGCTGCTGCTGCTGTTAAGTGCTACAGAAGGCTATTCAGCTTCCCGTTGCAGTCAGTTCCGTCCCCTGATTCACTAGGAGATACTGTAGCTGTGGTTGCAGATTAGGCTTTTCTCTTCCTCCTCTTGTCCTTCCCTCCCGGCCCCCCCTTAGAGACCTCTGTGTGCTTTGACGTCATGTGTGCTCCTTTCAGTTGCCATAGCAGCCCCATTCCCCAAGCTCTCTGCCTGGCTCCTCTGGTAGGTTCCACAATGGTACAGCCAGCATCACGCTGCACAATGGTTTCCAGGCAGTGAAAGAGCGTGATTCAGCAAGCCACTCTCTTCTTGCCTCTCTTTTATTCCATTATTCTCAGACATTTTGCCTCCCTTTTTCCATTTTGCTTTACCTGCTACCCCAGGCTTTTATTTAGTGCTTTAAAGGGGGGGGGGGGGGAATTGATTTTTTTGAATTACACTGCCTCTCTTTTTATTTTTTTATTATCACTATTAATAGTCTGTCTTTTTTTTCTCGGCGCTATTCGGAATGTGGTTTAAAAATACCACCTAAAATCGCAGTTTGGGGAAAAGGTTGCTGGACGAGGAGAATAGTTCGCAAGCACGGAATGGTAGGTTGCTGATGCTAATATTCTATGACTAACCTGCTTTTGCAGGGTGGGGTGATGAATATTGATTGCTGCTTAAAAAAAGGAGAGGGGGAGAGAGAGAGAGAGAGAGGCAGGTTAATGGAGGAAAGGGCCGACCGAAGCGAGGAGGCTGCAGCAGTAGGTTTGGCGGCCAGAGGACCGTCGTTTTCCTGCGTTCGGGTGTGTATTGAGCTTCTCGGGGCGCTTTAGGTGACCGGTGGCAGTGAGAGCGATGCAGAAGCGCGGCAGGGGCAGGAGGGGTTGCGTTTGGCCAGCTGGTTCATGTAAACAGCAGTGTTGTAGTCAGTCTCGTAGCCTCTAATGCTGCTTGCGAGGGCTGTTGCGGGGTACGGAAGTCTTGGCTTGCAGTTGGGTAGAAATGAGTGTATTATATGGATGATATAGGTAGAGCTATATTAAATGGAATTGGTAAAAAAAAAAAAAAAAAAAAAAGGCAAGGGGGTGATGTTAAGCAGTTTCAAGATGTGGAGGGCACAAGCCTAGGCCTTTTGCAAAGGGTCTGAATTTAAATGGAAGAAAAAGATGTGTGGTTGTGGGGGGAAGAGTGTTTGAAAAAACTGTGTTGGTGGGCTGAATGTGGAGGCTGTAGGGGAGAAAATGGTTTCTTCAGGCAGCTATCAGTCCATTGCATGATTCCCAAATGCAAATGAACAGAATGCACTGCATTTTAAAGCAAAAGTGTTTACAGCACATCAAGGGCAGTTATTTTGTCAAGGAAAAGGCAATAATTTGTAGACACTGCAGTGAAATCAATGTTGCTTTGCAGGGAAATCATCTGACAGGAGAACTATTGCTGTAGGGGGAAATTTTCTGTTCTGCAGAAAGGCCTTCTTACAAATAATACAGGTTTGAGTTGGATTAATGAAGTGTTAGAGCATAATGCTTAATAAGCAAGCTGTGCTGCCAGTGAAGCACGACGAGCGTGTGCCATGGCATTCACATCTTGGGTGCTTGTGAGCTTGTTTACATGGATCCTTTTTGCTGCATAGCTTCGCGATACCTTCAGTGCAGGCTTGCCCTGCTCTGATAACGCTCAGGGCGAGATTTACAAGAGACACATTTGAAAATGAGCAGACATGATGTGAAAATGCCAACTTCAGAAAGGGAAATGAAGGTATAAGGTGGGTGCTCTTTTTAAGAGGAACCTGGTGTGTTGTCTGCATAGAAGTGTGATGTGTGTTCATGTACTTCCCCCCGTCCTTCCTCTTGCTTCCCCACATCAGCTTGCTGCAGGACACAGAGCCTATCGTGCAAGTCAGCTCTGGAAGAGAGAGAAGTGTCAACATTGTGGGGAGAGGGATGTGGGTCCTGTGGATCTGTGAATTGCACTGGGCTTTTTCTCTCTGCTTACATATGAACTGTCTCTGGTTATTTTAGGTGCTAAACCTCTTAGCTTCTAGCCCTGTTTCAGAACACTGCTCAGTAACCCCTGGCCAGGGCTACCCAAGGGGTCAAGTGTTTTCCTTTATGGGCTTTCTGCTGTCTCTTCAGTCCTTGTACTGGTGTTGGTTGGCTAGACAAAACAAGTTTTTCCTCTGAGGACACAGATGTGAATGACAAAGGTGACTGAACCTTAGCCATTAAGTGATATTTTCCCTCCCTGACTCATTAAGATATGTTCTCATGTTGTTCTATCCTGCTGTTTCAGAGCACGTATAATTCGTTGGGATCCTGTTGTTATTATGGTTTTCTTGAAGAGCTTTGGGATTGCAGAGAGATTTCTAAAGTGGGTAAGAGCAAAAATAATACAATGGGAAAAATGAGTTATCCTCAGCTGCCTGTGTGCCTCAATAACAGAAAATGTCCCTCTCATTGTTATAAAGATCCATGTATGCTAGAAGAGTATTTTATGAGGAGACCTTGGGGATGCTTTTTCCTTCTGTGAACTGTTGACACATCTGCAGCCATTATTTAAAGATTTAATAGTACCAGATCAATAATGGCAAGGCCAAACACCATCCTAAGGTGTCAGGGTATGAGATGGGGCTTTTATAAACAATGAGCACACTTTCAGAATTTTCCCACCATGGTATGGGCTCTGGAAGGCTGTTTTAGGATGCAGTTGGTTACCAAGCCTGTGTAATTTAGCGGAAGGTGAAGCAGACCCAAATGAATTGGATATAAGCATTATTCTTGCACACAAGATAACTTTTTTCCTGCCTTCCAAATCTTAAAAAAAATGTGAATTCAGAGAAAAATCCACAGCTTTGCTTTCTGAATCTCTTAAGCCGTAATTGAAAACAAGCTACAGTCTTTTTCTGGATAATACCTGAAAAGCATAAAATACCACCTTGTTGATATTTGTTCAAATGAAAGCAGTTCTTGAATGAGTTTGTTAAGGCTAGTGCCTGTGAAGAGGGAGCCTTTCATGCTTCTGGTTTCATTTTGAGCTCATAAGAGCCTGCCTAGAAATCATGACTTAAGCGTGATGACTGCAGTGTTGACCATAGCTGTTGCTCTGCTGTATTGAGACATGTTTGCACTGCAATACCAAGTAGAAAGACCAACTGTTTTCCTACGTTTGTGTTTTGCTCTCCTTTTTCTCTGGTTCTTGCAAGCTTACAGTTTTCAATTGGGCCATTTGCAAGAAAATTCTAAGAAAGGGCATGAGTGGTAAAGAAAAAAAGGTGCTTTTTATTGTTCGTTTGTTTCTCGCAGCACTATCCATGCAGACAGACAAATGAAGCATTGCAGAGAAAGAAATTATCTTTTGTATTTAAGAAATCTTATTGAAACTAAGTAAAATTTCATTAGTGTGGAATCAGGTGTTGGGGTTGTTAAACTTCCTTCTGTGCTGTGACAGTGAGATTCGGATACCGAGAATGGGACAGAATGTAATGGTTCCCAGTCCACTGGTTTAAAAGTTTACAACTTGTCAATACATTTTCTGTGAGCCGTGATGCTGTAGTTTGTGAGGAGCAGTTTTGTCTAGTTCTCTAAGATAGCAGGAGGAGTGCTTCTGTCTTGTTTTATTATGTTTGCATTGCTTTTTACTATACTATTGTTATTAAGAATAAGGTTTCTGTATATGAACTTCAAGTGGCAATGACATGTTCCTCTGTGGAAAGGATGTGAAGGTCATGATGCTGTCTTAGGAGGCCCCAGACTGCTGGAACCGTAGGATGGATTGACAACACTTTGCACAAGTAGAAAAAGCATGTTATATTTTTGTATTTTCAGACTTGACTCCAAGGAAAAGAGAGGTAGATGGTTGCATTAGTACCACCCCTGGCTGACATAGCAGTGATGATGCTGAGAGGGAAATCTCATGCCGTTCTAGTCTCACGTAGCTACTTTGCACTGTGCTTGACCTGTGAAATATCATGTTACAGTGCTGTCAAGTTTTTTCATATCGGAGTCAACAGTTTTAAGGTAGAACACTCAGAAGGATGAAATACTGATTCCAGTCTAGGCAATACCTGTTTCACAAGCCTTTCACGCTGGAAAGATGTTTTGAGATATTAGGGACAAGTAATTTCAATGGGGCTTCAGGGAGCCTGAGTGTGTGCCAACCTTGGCTCAGTTTGGTGAAACATCATGGATCCTCTCACGTGAAACAGTTCTTCATACATAAGGATTTTAAATCTTGTAGTCCTACTATCATCTTCCACAGTTAAATATCAGCCTTCCGCTGAAAGCGTGCCACTGCTTTTATATACCTGGAATTTTTGATTAATGTGTAGACCAGAATGGTGCCGATAATGCAGTATGGCAGGTGTATTAGCAGTTAGTTATTAGCAGTGAAGAATAGGTACTGACTTGGCTGTACATTCTTTGTTTACTCCTTTGAATTTACTGTTATATCATCCCAAGTCTTTGCATTTATTGTTTGCGCTATGTTTTTGGATAGTCTGAGATTTCTTTATATGTATTTTTATCTCAAAAACTTGATGAAGATGTTGGTAGTGTTTGTATTGCCGACCTATATGATCAAGCCTTTCAACTTTTAAAAACCTCCTACATATTAGAGAAGTGATTACATGTGATTTTTCAACTTGGTTTAGTGAAAGTTTTGCGTCTTGATTAGTTGTTTCTCCCCTATATCCAACCTCATAGATGCGTTTCAGAGCAGAACTGTGCTTCTTTATAAAATGTGCTATATAATATTGACATTTCAAGTCAGCTTGCTTTTATGGTAACTATTTTGTATATTTCTATGTTAAAGGACTACCAACCAGGTAATTTATCTTTTGGTTTTATTCAGGGCTAGCATTAGAAACCTGTCCCTGCAGCAGGCCAGAATCAGATATCAGCTATGGCAACTCGTGCATGAAGTGGACTTCTCTGAACCATTTCCAGTAGAAAAGATATAGCACACGCTGTGGTGAGTTGACAGTGGCATGTTTTATTAAATCACACTTCCTTGCAATAAAACATGGCTTAATGCCAAAATGCATGCTGATATGTACACACACACACATGCACACACACACATATATATACGTAAAAATAAAAAGCTGTACAACTGCAACTTCCATTCTTCTCACGAACTTAATGCTTGAGCATAACATGTGTTGTCATTAACATAGTAAATGCTTGAAATGAATTATATCTGGGTTTTACCTGCAATTATTAAATAAGACATACTAGTGGAGTGGTTTTTGTTAGGATAGGAAAATAAATGATGCATGTGGCATTCTGGACTTGATGTATGTGCAGGTGGGTGCGATTGTTCATAACTATGGTAGGTCTTGGACGTTTTGCGTGGAGGAAGGAAGTGACTTTTGTAGCTCAGTCTGAGACTGATTGACATAAATACATTAATTCTTGGACAGGAGAATACATGGTGAAACTAGCACAGGAAAAAAAAGGCAACTAATAATCTGAAAGATCTTGTGGCTTTAAGCATGTAAACCTGCTAATAATTTTCTCTAAGTTTTCCTGTGTAATACATCATTTTGATTCTGATCCTTTCTTTCAAGTTGCATGATCTTGGTTTATCTTGAGGATCAGATGAACTCTCTTCATATGTCTCAAGTTATCTTGTAATGAATGTATTCTTAAGTCTTGTGAATATAAGGTAACCAAATTTCTGTTCAAAACAACCCTATGTTAATTCCTGGATGTTTATACTAGCTCCGCTGACCGCGTCTGTATGTGAGCATAAAGAGGAAGCTATCAGCTTTAAAAGGCCACACAGGCAAGTTGATCTGTAGACTTGTAGAATAGGAATTTTACTGCTGGTCCATGTCGGTCCTTCTTCTGGGAGCTTTGGCATAAATAGTCTGTAGATCCATGTGCCCAAAATGGGTGTTCCTGCAGTTTCAGTAGGAGATACAGCTCATCTTGTATGCTGATGAGGCAGTGATTGTAACATGTGATATGCCACTGCATCAGTAGTTTTCTGTGGCTTGTGGAACAGTAATGGCACTAGTACTACAGTAGCTTGGCATCTTCATTCTTAATAGAGCTTCTGAAAAAAGAATTGAACAAGTGTGGATTAAATCAATGGGATGGTGCTTTATAGTAAAATGAGGGAGTAAAATGAGAGAGAAAGTAGCAAAGAGCCATATCTTGGAGTCCATCAAAAGATTTTTGTGTGCAGTTGAAACTGAGAGGTTTCCCAAAGAGGGAAACTGTGTTTGAGGTGAAAAGTATGTGACGAGAATAATTTGTGACAGGAGTAGTCCCAGTCTGGATGTTCACATCCTTGATTAGTAGAAATCCAGGGAGAATAAGGTGCTTCTGTAAAGCTTAGGAATTTTGTTCAAGTTCTTACACGTTTTAAGGTCTGTGATGTTTGTCCTAGGCAATTGTTTTTACCAAGACAGCCTTAATCTTGGTTCAATATGTAGATTATAAAATCTTTGCAAGGGAGCCTTTCTTATTAAATGAGTTTGGCTCATTCTTGCCCAGTGATCAAGCCCCAAACCATACAACTTGTTAAGTAGAACTTGCTATGTTAAACAATGTATAGGCAATACGCTGTTTGAAGCAAACAAGGTGTATATAATCTAATAACTATGGAATATTTATGAGTGTCAAGTTGACAGTACTGTACAGTATTACATCCCAATCAGGGATTTCATTGGCTTGTTTGTGATGAACAGTATTTTACCAGACATGGCATGGACTCCTTGTACTCTGTGGAGGGGAAAAATACGTTTAGCTTGCAGTAATGGAAGTTGAGTTGAAGTTACTGCATTTGTAGAAACAGAGGAGTGCTTGTAGCTATTTTTTAAGAAGTAGCTGGGTGAACATAATTCCTACGCTTAAAACTTTACGCTTAGTAGTATATGCAATGCTAACTGCTGATTTCTTTGTTCTTTCAGAATACAATGGTACTGTTTTCCACAAGCAGTGTGACTTGGTCATTTGTCCTGCAGGTCACGAAGATGCCTTTGTCTTAATGTTGTAGCTGTTGATATTAGTGTATGCTATTTCAAGTGTACACCAAAGACACTGTTCGGTCTTTTTACCCTGCAAGTTAAATGCTCCTGCAAGTCACCGCTGCTTAGATTTATTCTTTCCAATTTAGTTGTATTTCAGGAGAGGTAGTCAGTACAAATGGAGAGCACAGTTTCAGAAACTGTGACAGTAAGCAAAAGAAATAACATTCTTTTTCTAAGAGATGTTTTAGGTAAGTTTACCCAAGGAGATTGGTCGCTTGGGAGGCAACTTGATCAAGCAACTTGCTTTTACAATGTGCTTAGGCACATTTCAGAAATGAAATGCAAGCACACAAGGCAAATATATTTTAGGATGGGGATCTTGATATTGAAGTGCTTACAGTAGTGTTGTAACTTTTTTTTTTTCCAGTTCATATTGGCCGTATATGCATGTAGGTCAACTTGAACTTAAATTGAGTTCTTCGCAGAGATGCGTCTCTATGAAAATGACGGTTTTACGGTTTTACGGTTTTTGTCTTTTTACATGAAACCAGAGAACTTATCTAAAATTTTGTATTTAATTGTCACAGATGAAATATCTTTTTTATATGCGGTGAAATTGTCTTTATGGCAGGACAGTAAAACTTCTGAAAAAGGTCAGGAAAAAGAAGTGGTAGTGAACACTAAAACTTGGATAATCTCTATTTTTAACCTCTAAAAAAAGCCTCGGAATCAGTTAGATATCTTTATAAGATTTAAGTACAAACACAATTTTGAAATCAGTCTAACAATAGTATATGTTTAATAACGGTGCTAAAGCCACTAGAGCCATGTGTAAGACGTGCATCAGAGCAGAACAGAGTTTTCTCTGAGGAATCTGTGTTCCTGTGTCTATGAATTCTTTAATCGAAAAAAGGCACTGGACATTAATGGTTATGTCTGGTTTTTATATAGATTGAATATCTCAAGTATTTACTTAAAATATTTGTGATAAGTCCCTATCCTTTACTGAGAAAGGTATATGTAATGAACTTTTTTTGGTGGCGACTCATTTTCTTAGCGTATTTCCAAAAGAGGATTGTGTTCTGTTCTGGTGCATATTTGACAGTGTTTATCAGAAGTGATCTATAGTATTTAACGCATGATTTTTTTTTTTTTTTTTTTTTGACTTCCCTACCTCGTATGCTTTAAGGAAGCTTTATTTTATGTTTTTTCCTCCCCCCAAAAGGGGAAGAAAGTTTAAGTAAGAAGGAAACTCTGGTTTCTGGTGAAACCACACACTTACCTTTCCCTTTAATAAACTTAATCAGAACTTTCTTTAAAAAGTTCTTTTATTGTATTTGGGGTCGTTTTTTCTTTTTTTGTGTGTTCTTTTTGTCTAGAGAAAAAAACTGTAAAGCATGGTGTTTTCTTTCCCTTTAGAGAGCAGAAAGTGTTCTTGTTTAACGCGATTGCTTATTCTGATTCATATCCCTTCAGCCTCCGCCCTCGGTTTGTCTTTGATATTACTGATCCCTGCAGCATGTAAGATGAGTATTTTAATTAAATAATATTGAAATGCTATGTTGCCAACTCTTTCTGAATTTGGGTTTTTTAATGCCCTGGGCTCAGGCATGTGCACAGGAGAAAATATGGGCTTTCTTTTTAATAAAACGTCATATGAAGAAAATGAAGCTTGACTATGTGAAACCTTGAGGCTTCAAAACTAAACTCTCTCACCAAAGCTACTCCCTAGTGATACCTCAGGATTCTTGGGGTGTATGACATTATTTCAAGGTATTTGGGGTTGGCAGTGTTAAAATGTCTTCTAGAGTTTGCTGAGAGATGGAGATTGCCTAGGTTCTCAACACTTTCAAAGGAATGGACTTACTTACCTTCATTCTTAAAAGTATCCAAATGTCTAGTGTTGTCTGTGAACATACCTAGTGAAATATTTGCACGACCACTGTGTTTTCTTGAGTTGCTGATGGGAAAGACTAGCACTCAGACAAGTTAAATGATTGGCAGGCTCCTATTTCCATCTTAAAGAGGAAAAAGCCATTGTAATTGTGGCAGAACAATCTGGGAGCTAGGTGCTACGCAAATATTTTTCAAGATCTTTTCATGATCTGAACTGCTGAGAAGTTTTTCTCTGGTCTGTAGCAATTGTCTTAAAATAATTGGAGGAGCTGGTGGAAGGTCATGGTTTCAGAACTAGGGGAGAATATAAAGCTTCAGGAGTAAGTGGAAATGTCTGATTAATAACAGAAGGCCCAGATAATGATGCCAGCAGAACGGTGGGAAGTAAACTGGGATGGCAATAAGTTGGTCTTCCTTTGTAGGTGTTGTATATGTACCAGTGTTAAGTGCAGTGAAGTATTTTGTAACTGCATAAGGAAATCATGTGCCTGCTTCCTTCCTGGTCTTGTCTGTGTGAAGTGTTGACTCTTTGTCTATTTTGGTAGGATCTCTGATTACCAAAATAGTTTTTAATTGCAGAGCCCGTCAGCTAGAGGAAAAACCTGTATATACCATTTCATGCCACCAGCTTTGCTCTGGCTCACCTTTTCTCTCTTGTTATCTGAAAGAATGGGAGCATTGACTGGAGTTCAAGAACTGAGATATTGTGGGGACAAGAATCCATACTGCAGGTAACATCAGTTATACAGTGCTGTTCACCATTCTCGGAGCATTCCAGGAGTGATTTTGTAATTATAACATGGAAAAATAAGAGTAACATAAATACAAACACAGTGATCGGTGCAATACAGTTTTTTTCAGCAGCTGTTGTGTGGTGGGATTTAGTATGGCAAATCAAGTGAATTGAAAAGACCTAGGTCAGTATGCATGACGGAGGACTAGCTAGAAGGTTGAAGTTATTTGGAGTTGATGTAAACTCATTGGACATCGGCAGCTCATTGGCAAGCCATGAAATGTTCTTGTGACTTTAAACAGTCTATATTCAGACTAGTGAGAGTGTGAAGGTTGCAGGCTTAGAACCCCAGTTGTGTATTCT